ACCAGCACCACCACCACGGCCACCACGACTGCGACCACCACTGCGACCACTACCACTAAAACGAACGACCACGACTACCAGGACTACGGCTGCCAATACGACGACGACTACTACTCTTCTACTTCTACTACTTTTACTACTGCCACTACTACTACTAATAATAGTAACAATAATAAGAAGAAGAATACTAGTACTACGACTACACGTACAGCCAGTGCTAGTACTGGGTGCTACAGTCGTGTTGATGCTGTTGCTGGTACTGCTGCCTACCACGACGAAAATATACCACTACTGCCACGACTACCATCCCTCCGACCGCCGTAACCGCCGCCACCACTACCAGCACCACCACCACCACCACCACGATCACTACTAGCCATTGCCGCCACTGCCGTGACAACGAAAACTGAATGCACTGCCGTAGCAGTGGTCGTAGAATGCGCAGTAAAACAGCAGTGACACAGGTAGGCATGAACGTAGATATGGAATAGTCAAAGAACTGCCACCCCCAATCGTACCGATGGCGATATCCCTGACGAAAACCAGTTCAACTCGCTGAGCTCCCGAGAATGAACCACGCGATGCCTTGTCGGCGGCCTCCATCACGGCCTTTACAGCCTCCTCAACAACGTTGTCGGGTTTCCAGCTTCGATGGCTCAGGATTTTGGCCTGTGGGGTTTAGGACTTTGGACCACTCGCCGTACGCATCAGCGGTTTGAGTGGCCAGAACGGGCTTTCTACAAAAAGTACACCCTGCGAACCAACCCTACCCTGCGCTGCCAATCCACCTCAATTAATTCATCTTTACGATGTTGAAGACTTGAAAGCTTGCAGAGATAGCTGTGCTACGTTGTTGATGCTTCTTGATTGCTGATCTTGTGGCTGATTTTCTTCAGGATCTTTACAGAACAAGTAGTAATAGTAAGGTCGAGTTTGTCGTGCTCCCTACTGCTACTCCTCCTCCTCCTGCTGCTGCTGCTGCTGCTGCTGCTACTGCTACTACAGCTACAACTGCTACAACTGCTACTACTGCT